ACACCCGCCCCCTCCTCATCCAGTATAAAACCTCGGAAGGAGCCGGGACAACAACTTGGGCTGGACTCATCAGACGTGGACGAGTCCGCGCACTGACAGCTGGAAGAAGACGCGCAGTGTTCCAGACATACAAACATCTCTTCAAGTCACATCATGTTGACCACTTTTGGGTTCAGGACACAGAAGATGTGTCCCACTGTGTGTCTGCTGTCTTTCCTCTGTGTGGTCAGCTCAGCGCGTGCCACCTCCTTTGAATCAGAGGAGGTCGTACCTGTCCGGGTGGACGCCAGACTCAGGGGTCATTTTTGGAAAAGGAGCGAGGAGCAGCGCAGCTACACCCTGAGCGCGTTCGGCACGCGCCTGACCCTGAAGCTCACCCCGGACCCCATCTTCATGGCGCCCTCCTTCACCATCCAGCGCCTCAGGGCCCAGGCCGCCCAGCGCCCCGACCCCAGCAGCTCCATGAACCGGACCGAGGAGAGCGGAGCGCGTCTCAGGAGCTGCTTTTACTCCGGGAGCGTGGATCAGGACGAGAACTCGCACGTGGCGGTCAGTTTGTGCTCGGGCATCTTGGGCTCCTTCATCACGGAGGGGACGGAGTACGTGATCAAGCCCAAAGTGCGCGGCGGCCGCGGTCCGGACGCTGCGGAGCGGCCACACGTGATCAGGAGGAGGACTGGTGTCCAGGTCCAAGGAGCTCCGCTCCTGCTTGACAGCTCCTCGGAGGAGATGCAGGCGGAAAGTTTGACGCTGGGCGGCGGTGACGCACAGAGGGAACCCCGCCAGAGGCGCTTCGTGTCCGCGCCACGCTTCATAGAGACCCTGGTGGTCGCAGACGCAACCATGACCCAGTTCTATGGAGACGAAATAAAGGTCAGGTGACGTGACGATGATGATGTGTGTGCCTGTGTGTGTGCGCGCGCGCAGAATATATCATGAGCCCGAACAGATTAGAATGAAACTTTCAGAAAATAAATACTGGCTGTACATCTACAACTATTTAAACAGTCAGTCTTTTCAAGATGGCCGCCACAGCTAATTGGCTTTTATTTAGTCAATTACAGAATTGAGCTGTTAACAAGACTTCACGTGCTCTAAGCGCTAACAGTGCGCAAGATATTTATTTACAAATTTCCCTTTTACTATTTAGAGTCAACTCTTCTCTGTTAGCAAAATATTTCATGAACCGTTGGACGGATCTTTCAGAAAATGATCACTGAATGAAAATTTATGTTTTTTTGGAGCCAACCCAATTCAAGACAGCCACTACAGCCAACTGACCTTGGAAGTGCCTTGACCTTAAATAACTTTAAATGTCTTTAATTCAGTCAGTTTTACAGCTGCTGTGCTGACATTTGGTGTGGGTTTAGCTAAACAACATCGTTAACTGATAGACTCAAGCCTGTTTGTCCGTTAGCAAAATATTTTACAAACCACTGGTGGATTTAAATGAAAGTCTCAGAGTATTTGCTGTATGTTTTCAGTCATTCCAATTCCCGATGTTGAGCTGAAAATCCATCCCAACACATCCTCTGAGCATGACATCTCAAGGTTTGACCAGAACATCTGCAGCGCTGTCTCCTCATCATTGATCGCAGTGCTGATGTGCATCCCTTCAACGAGCTGTGTTTAATTCTCTGCACTGACGTTTGATCAGAACCTGAACGCCACCTTGGGGCATTTTGGAATTTTCCACAAGTCGCTGAACATTTTTCCACTTTGTCTGTAAAGTCACAGACATGATGATGAAACAGTAGACATACTTCTGTCTGCTGCTTTTACCCAAAATGTGCTCTGGCAGTCTGCGACGTGACTTCACTGATTTTTGTCAGCTCAGAAAAGGTCAGGCAACAAAAATGCACAAAATGTCAGGCTGCATTCCTCGGAGCTTCATTTCAATTCAGTAGTTTTAATATTGAAGGGGTTGTGGATTCTCAGGGTTAGAAATTTGTTAATGGGCCTTTTGTTGGTCTGTCAAAGTCAAATTTATTTAAGATTATTTTCATGGTGCCAAGTTGTAAGAAAACTATGAGTCGGCTTTTGCAAATAAAAATAAAAAACAAGGCCAAATAATAAATCCAGTGCAGTCCAGCACAGTTCCAGATCCAGTTATTTCTGTTACAGTGCAATACGGGCAGTACATCATGAAATAACCAGACAAAGTTATGTAAAGAAGGCAGCAGATTGTGGTGATGCAATCCTCCATCTTGGACAGCACATTGGTGGAAAGAGACAACACTTTTAATAAGAAGAAACTTCCAACAGAACCAGAACCAGGCTCAGGATTAACAGCTGGGGGCTGGAGGAAAGGAAATACACAGATCAACAGAAAGACTGGGAAAAGTGTGTTTTTGATAGAAAGGGGTTTTATTTTCTTTCAGCAGCTCTCTTCTTCAGGAGTCACCACAGCGAACTGAGTCGTATAAAAATAGTTTTTATGCCGGGTGTCCTTCCTGACGCAACCACAGACCACGGAGCTACCACAGCTCTCTGTGTGGAGCAGAGAACTGCAATCTAGGGAGCAGATGGTGGAGGTTGAGGGCCTTGCTCAAGGGCCCAGAGTGGAGCAAATGAGGGTGGAGACAGGTATGGGTTTTGATGTTGTTGGTCCAGGGAGTTGAACTGGTGACCACAGGTGGGCCTGTAATCTAACCTGAGGGTGGCTGTGGTTGAGTGGTTAGAGCAGTCGTCCTCCAATGCAAGAGTTGGGGGTTCAAATCCACCAGCAGTCACATGCCAAAGTGTCCCTAGGCAAGATACTGAACCCTGCATTGCCTTCAATGTGTGTCCCATTGGTGTATGAATGTGATAAAGCTCTGACTAGTCTCTTTTAGGGCTGCAACTACTGATGATTTCAATAATCGATTCATCGGCCGATTATTTTTTTCGATTAATCGATGAATCAGGGGAAAAAAAATAAAAAAACGTTTTAATTTCCACCCCTTTATTCCGAAACTGAACATTTGACTGACATAGCAATTCGCAAAAAACAAACAAACAGGTTGCTATTTGACTATTCTGTTAGTAAAATATTGAATAATAAAAATTAAAAGTTAGTCACATAGCTTCAAAAAATAAATGTACACAAAAATATATACAAATGTATCTTTATACCTGCATAATATGTAGCTACTTTGTAAAACGTGTCCTTGAGGGAAGAGTGTAACCTGGATTAAAAGTGTGGATTATTGTAGTGAAGCCTTCGTCTTCAACCATCGACAGAGGCCTCATGTCAGTGACGATCATGTTCATGATGCTTTCAGTGAAGACAGCTGCTGCTGTGGTGTCCATGATGTCTGTCCATCATGAAGGATGTTGTTGTTTGTTGTTGTTTTCTGGAATGAGAGAGTAAATATGTATCATATCATAATTTACAGCAACTCAAGAAATGCCTTGTTTCACTTACAGTGTTAGGTTCAGGCAAAAGTAGCTAAAAGAGCAATTAAACACACACACACACACACATATAAAATACTTAATTACACACATTTGAGTAATGTAATAAATTACTTTAATTCCTGTTTAAATGCAATTCATCCCGCCATACCTGCAGTGTCTTCAGCCTTTGCCAACAAATTAAAAGTTGAAGCTTAATCATTAAATTATTATCTTTGTGTTAGATTTATTTATAAATCACATAATTTAATTTAATTGGTACACTGCTTGTACCAATTAAATTAAATAAAAAGTCACACACGTTCTTTATCACTGTCATTAATCAGCTAACAAACAAGCAGCAGCTTCAGCTACCAGAGAGACTGACATTACGTCTTCTCATTTGGAAACACAACAAATGTAGAATATTGTAGAGACTCACCTGCAACACATGACGAGTTGGGAGTGAGACGAGTTGTATCTGCTGTTCACCTCCTTCCTCCTCCTCGTGACGCCGACATGTTTATGTTTCATCAGCGTGGTTCTCTCGTGTCGTGAATTTTCAAAGCTGCATGTTTCTCAGTTTTAATCTTTGTGAAGAGCTCCCACACTTTGGAGGACTCGGAGTTTTCGCTGCATTGGTCATTTGTAAAATTTACTTATTTTCCTTTGAAAACAGCCTCTGCTCTGCTTCCGCCTCCCCCCTCGCTCTGTTCAACTCGCGCTGAGAGGTTTTTTTTTTTATTTACTTTATTCAGTCAGTCAGCATTGACAATGAACTGCCCATGAACGAAACGAAATGGCTCCGCAGTGCCCTGAAAGACGCATAATCGCGCGACACAACAAATCGATAATGAAATTTGTTGCCAACGCTTTTAATCATCGATTTTTATCGATTCGTTTTTGCAGCCCTAGTCTCTTTAGAATGATTTGTTCAATTAACTTTGTAGATATCTAGTAGAGTGCTGTATGAATGGGTAAATGAGGCACAGATTGTAGTATAAAGCGCTTTGAGTATCTTGATCAGATAGAAAGGCGCTATATAAGTACAGTCCATTTACCATCCATTTAACCTCTGCACCATCACTCCCCCTTGTTTCTATAGAAAGGTCAACAAAGAAAAACATTAACAAAAAGTAAAAGTGACAAATTGGTAGCACAGTGACGTAGTTGGTAGAGCTGCCGCCTCTCAGCAAGAAGGTTGTCGGTTCAAATCCCAGCCCGGGACCTTTCTGGGTGGAGTTTGCATTCTCTCTGTGCATGCATGGGTTTTCTCCAGGTACTCCAGTTTCCTTCTACAAACCAAAGACATGCATGTTAGGCTGATTGGTAACTAAATTGTCCCTAGGAGAGAGAGAGAGAGAGAGAGAGAACGGTTGTTTGTCTCGTTTGTCTCTATGTGTCCCTGTGATGGACTGGAGACCTGTCCATGTGTCCCAGTAATGGACTGGAGACCTGTCCAGTGTGTACCTACCTCTCGCACAATGATAGCTGGACAATGGGCACTAGTGACCCCCGTGACCCGATAACGAAGAAGTGGGTAAAGATAATGGCTGGATGGATGGATGGCTGGATGGATGGCAAAATGACAAACACACACATGATTAATAGAGAATAAAGACACCTGAGTGAGTCGGTCTCAAACTGTAGCAGCATAACATTATAGCAGGTGTGTTCTGTCCTTTAGTTAGTACTTTAACAGCAGTGACATCGGTCATAGAGCGTGGAGTAAGGAGAAGAAGGGGAAAGTCTTGTTCCAGGCTAGACTAATGGCTTGAAACTGGAATTTAGTTCCACAAAACATGAGCAAGAAAACTGAGACCATCATCTCCCATTCTACTTTTAGAAATTTTAGGAATCACAAGTAAACCTGCAGTCTGAGAGTTAAGTTCTCTGTTTGGGAATCATGGAACAATGAGATTTTTGAGATTAAAAAAAAAAAACCTGCATCTTTCAACATTTTACAGTACTTCCATGTCCTGTCTAATTGCATCCATACACTGTATCTCCTCTTTGTACTTTTCCTAGCAGCTGCATTTCTAACATCTTTCCGCCAATATACTCACTGTCCCTCCTCTGGCCATGCCCAAACCACTGTCCCTCCTCTGGACATGTCCAAACCACTGTCCCTCCTCTGGACATGTCCAAACCCTCACAGTTTGTCCACTCTAACTTTACCTCCCAGTTGTTCAACCTGTGCTGTACCTCTGATGATCTCATTCCTAATCTTATCCAAACTTGTCACTCCTAAGGAGAACCTCAACATCTTAATTTCTGCCACTTCCAGTTCCGTCTCCTGTCTTTTTGTCAGTGCAACTGTCTCCAGACCATACAACATAGTTGGTCTCACCAATGTCTTGTAAACTTTTCCTTTGACCTTTGCTGACACTCTCTTGTCACAAATCACTCCTGAAATATTTCTTGATCCACTCCATCCTGTCTGGACTCTCTTTTTCACCTCTTTACCACATTCCCCATGTGCCTGTACAGTGGACCCCAAGTGCTTTTGTTAATAAAATTAAATAATGAAATAAGTATCCCTGGGCAAGGCACTGAACTCCCCATTTCCTCAAATGTTTGTCCCATTGGTGTATGAATGTGATCTAAAGCACTGGTTAGTATTTGTAGAGATCTAGTAGAGTGCTGTAAGAATGGGTAAATGAGAGCACAGGTTGTGTTGTAAAGTGCTTTGAGTATCTTGATAAGATAGACAGTACAGACCATTCACCATTTATCTGTGGTGGTCTTTCTCTGTATGAAACTACTGCTGCTCACAAATTGTCACATTTGGTCTACGTCTAGTTTCCACAACTCTCTCCCAGATCTTCAATGTCATGAACTCATCAACTTAATTCCCCTTAGTTCCTACAACTCTGTACATCACCCTTGTTCTTAAAAATGGGCAGCAGCACACTTCTCCTCCATTCCTCAGGCCTTTTCATCCATCTATCCATTATCTTTACCTGCTTATTCCATTTTGGGTCACGGGGGTCGCCGGTGCCCATGTCCAGCAATCACTGTGCGAGGGGTGGGGTACACCCTGGACGTAAGTCCATCACAGGGCCACATAGAGACAAACAAGACAAACAATCATTCACTCTCTCACCCACACCTAGGGACAATTTAAAGTTACCAATCAGCCTAACATGCATGTTTTTGGTCTGTGGGAGGAAACCGGAGCACCCGGAGAAAACCAACGCATGCAATGAGAGAACATGCAAACCCCACCCAGAAAGGCCCCTGGACCGGGGTTTGAACCAAGGACCTGCTCGCTGAGAGGCAGCAGCTCTACCAGTTGCGTCACCGTGCTGCCCCCCCAGGCATTTTATCATCTTCAAATATCCCATTGAATATTTGAGTCAAAAACCTCACTGCCATCTCTCCAAGATATTTGAAAACCTCCACTGGTATGTGTTCAGGTCCTACTGCCTTCCACTTCTTCAGTCTTTTCAGCACTTTCAGAACTTCACCCTTACTAATCTTTCCCACTTCCTGGTCCACCGTTTCTATGACCTCTACTATTATTTCTCTTTCATTTTTTTTCATTCATTAGCTCCTCAAAGTACTCCTTCCATCTTCCCATCATGGTCTCCTCACTTGTTAGAACATTAGCATTCCTATTTTTAACAAGCCTAACCTGCTGCACATCCTTCCCAGCCTGATCCCCGTCTCGCTTTTGGTACAAGTCCTTCTTGCCCTCTTTAGTGTCCAGCCTTCCATACAACTTATCATACGCCTTCTGCTTTGCCTTTGCCGCCTCCTTCTTTGATCTACATTGCATCTCCTTATATTCCTGTCTCCTCTCTTCAGTCCTCTCACTGTCATATTTCTTATTGACTAACCTCTTTCTTTGAATAGCTTCCTGCACTTCACTATTCCACCACCAGGTTTCCTTATCATCCATTTTCTGTCCAGATGACACACCATGTACCTTCCTACCTGTCTCTCTAATTACTGTTGCTGTAGTAGCCCAGTCATTTGGAAGCTGTTTCTTACCACCCAGAGCCTTTAACTGAACTCCTCACAACATTCTTCTTTCCTCAACTTCCACCATTTGATCTTCTCTGATTTTACTCTTTTTCTCTTCTTCACAGCAACAGTCATTCTACACACAACCATCTGATGCTGTCTGGCCATGCTCTCCCCTGCCACAACTTTACAGTCTCCAATCTCCCTCAGGTTTCCTCTTCTACACAGAATGTAGTCGACCTGTGTACTCCTTCCTCCACTCTTATAAGTTACTCTATGTTTCTCCCTCTTTTGGAAATTGATGTTGACTATAGCCATTTCCATTCGCTTGGCAAAATCCACTGCTATCTGATTTTCCTGGTTTCTTTCCTTGACACCAAACCTATCTATCACTTTCTCATCCCCCCTGTTTCCTTCACCAACATGTCCATTCAGGTCTGCTCCGATCACCACTCTCTCCTCCCTGGGAATACTCTCCCATCACTTCATACAGATCCTTCCAAAATGTATCTTTCACCTCCACATCACATCCAACCTGTGGAGCACAACCACTGACAACATTTAGCATCAGACCTTCTACTTCTACCTTCAGACACATCACCCTATCTGGCACTCTTTTCACCTCTACTACATTATTTGCCAACTCCTCCTTCAGGACCACCCCTATTCCATTTCTTTTTCTATCCACATCATGGTAAAACAGTTTGAACCCTGCCCCAAGGCTGTGACCCTTTCTGATTTCCCACTTGATCTCTTGGACACATAAGACATCTACCTTCCTTCTCTGCATCATGTCAGCCAGCTCTCTACCTTTGCCTGTCATTGTCCCCACATTTAGAGTTGCAACCCTCAGTCCTACATTCTTGAATTTCCTCTTCTCTCTCTGTCTCCTGACACGTTTCCCTCCTTGTGATCTTCGACTTAACAGTAGCACAATTTCCACCGGCACCCTTTTTGTCAACACCACTGGTGGCAGTCGTTGTTTACCTGGGCCTAGACCGATCCAGTATGGTGTTGCTTAGATGAACTCGCATTATAGTTTAGGCAAAAGTGTTTTATATCAGATGCTGTTCCTGACACAACCCTCACCATTTACCAGGGCTTGGGACAGTACAAGATACACTGGCTTGTGCTCCCTTGTGGCTTCAATGGCTTCATTAGCTTAAATTCATTGTTACCTGTAAATACATACATTAATGGGGGCAGCTGTGGCTGAGTGGTTTGAGCGGTCTTCCTCCAATGCGAGAGTTGGGGGTTCGAGTCCACCAGCAGTCAAATGTCGAAGTGTCCCTGGGCAAGACACTGAACCCCTCATAGCCTCTGATGTGTGTCCCATCAGTGTATGAATGTGAATGATTTGTTCAATTAGCTTTGTAGAGATCTAGTAGAGCACTGTATGAATGGGTAAATGAGGACACAGATTGTAGTGTAAATCACTTTGAGTATCTTGAAATAAGATAGAAAGGCACTATATAAGTCCAGTCCATTTACCATTTAATTAATTTGCACAGAGTGCTTGAGGATATTTTTTGTAAAGTTTTAAGATAAAATCAGAATAGCCTTGAACTCAAAGGAAAACATATAGCCTGGCTCTGTTCTCAACTATAACATGAATGGTTAATCATTCAAGCCTATAAAATGTAATGTGTTTTTTTTTCTCTACAGCACTACATTCTTACCCTAATGTCCATGGCTGCCCAACTGTACAAGCACCCCAGCATAAAGAACTCAGTAAACATGGTGGTGGTGAAAATGTTAGTGGTGGAGGACGAGCAGGTTGGACCAGAGATCTCCAGCAATGGAGACATGGCGCTGAGGAACTTCTGCTCCTGGCAGCAGCTTTTCAATCCACTGAGCCAGAGGCACCTGGAGCATTATGACACTGCCATACTGTTCACCAGAGAGGTGAGCATTAAAATCTACTGGGATTGTGTTTATAGCTGTGGATGTGCATGCTTTTATACAAATACTTAGAATAACAAATGCTTTAGAGACAATGAAGGGTTTAGATAATTGTCTCTAAGACATGTTTGCATAAAGCGTGGGGACAATGTGGAATGAGTGAGTGGCAGCTTTAATTGCCCCTATGCAGGGCTTAATTTGCAAACTAATTGATGCTGGAACAAAAACAGCAGGCGGTCCTGTGTGTGTGTGTGTGTGTATGTATGTTGGTGTGCGTGTGTGTGTGTGTGTTCCGTGGGTCCTCCCCCAGAAAATTTGGAATAAACGAAATGCAATTTTGTGTCATGAACCAGAGGCCGGATCGCAAACAACAACAACAACCACTGAGAGGGTTAAAAGGTTTATTGTGAAATAAAGTAAAACCCTGGAGTAGGTCCGGTTCTGGGCCGGTTCCGATCTTCTGATTGGTAGTTCGTGATTGGGTAGTGTTGAAGTGGCGGGCTGCCAGTAGAAGTAGAACTGATGTTAAGGTCCACTGGAACGGAGTCCAACAGGCTTGCAACTAAAAGATAAAGGTTAGTAGATGCAGGGGGAAAGAGACTAATTGGGGAAATGAATCTGTGGGAATCAGATTCAGGGATAAGGATAAGTCCGTGATACAGAATGAGCTTGACCTTTAATCCGTGATCCAAAAAACAGTCAGAAGGGAAAGGCAGAGTTCATACCGTGAAGTCAGTTGTTCAGCAGAAGTATCCAGTACGTGATCCAAAAAGAGAGTCAAAAAACAAGAGCATGAGTCGGTACCTGATCAGATGAGCAAAAGCAGACGAGGGCTGAGGCAAAAGCGTGGTCGTGGTCAAGGCAAGGGTCATGAACGTGATGAGTCAATCAATGGAATGCTGGAAAGTCTACTGCTGATGAGACAGGATAGAGAATCTGGCCCAGACTGAGAGGAATGAGTGAACTTAAGTACTGACTGGACCAGGTGGTGGAGCTGTGGGATAATGAGCGGTGACAGGTGACATGAGTTGAGTGATTACTGAGTGTGCAGCATGACAGAGGAGCTGACAGAGAGCAGAGCTATGACAGAACCCCCCCCCTCAAGGTCCGGCTCCTGAAGGACCACCAGGCTGGAGAGGGTTCAGTCGATGAAAGTCTCTAATGAGGGTTTTGTCCAGAATATTGCGTGAGGGCACCCAGGAACGTTCCTCCAGGCCGTACCCCTGCCAGTCTACCAGATACTGGAGTCCTCTCCCCCACCTTCTGGATCGAAGAAGGCGTCGGACCGTGTAGGCTGGGCTCCCCTGAATGAGTCGGGCGGGTGGTGGGAGGTCGGTGGTGGGTCGAAAACGTGGCAGGACAAATGGCTTGAGTCTTGAGACATGAAACGTTGGATGAATGCGCATGGACCTGGGTAACTGTAAGCGAACAGAGACAGGATTGATTATTTTGGTAATCAGAAAAGGACCAATGAAACGTGGTGCTAGTTTCTTAGATTCCACACGGAGAGGAAGGTCCTTGGTGGAGAGCCACGCTTTCTGGCCCACCTTGTACAATGGTTGAGGCGTTCTCCTGCGGTTAGCCCCCCGAACGTACCTTTTGGTGGCCAAAATTAGGGCTCTCCTGGCTTTTCTCCAGACTCGCTGGCAACGTAAAATTGCGAGTCGTGCAGAGGGAACCCGAGCTTCTCTCCCCTGGACTGAAAAAACAGGGGGTTGGAATCCAAAGACAACATGAAAGGGTGAAATACCTGATGTAGAGGATGGAAGAGAGTTGATTGCTTGTTCAATCCAAGGGAGGTTGGACGTCCATTTCCTCGGGTCCCCCTCGCAGAGGAGCCGAAGCTTGGTCTCCACCTCCTGGTTGGTAC